TTATCACAATAAGACATGATAGAGTGAAGTCACTAAACCCATGAAATAGATATTAGACTTATACACTTTAATAGACCCTAATTCCATTGTTTTCTTTTGTCTCTATTTGAATCCCGGGGGGTACTCTTGCCCGTTTAGGGTAGCAATGTGCCGCTGAGCACTCTGAACCTTGACCCTGTTCCAGAGAAAAATCGCTGAAATTCATACCCTGTTCCAGAGCAAGATCACTGAAAACCATACCCTGTCTGGCGGCACGTACCCGTATAGTGAATATAGGGCAGTACCTCCCCCCCCCGGGATTTGAATATTATATGTTAACTAGTATCTTTTATTTCATGGGTTAAATGCCTTCACTCTAATAATTATTTTTTATAGTGATGAATAAATTTTGGTAAGAAAACTGATTTTCAATTTGCTGGGCTACAATTCAATTATACATTCCTACGGTTTTTATTGCTCTGCGCTGATCGAGACAACAGTCCCAACAGGGAAATCAACCAAGACTACCATTAATCAAATGAATCATTAGAGTACATAAAAGTACATCGGAATTTACTCTAACTGATTTTTTTGATTGATGATAGTCTATGAACCATTTTTGAGTTTCGAATTACTACTGTGTTCCTTGATTACAGACTCATTTACTCAGGCTTAATTTCCTATCAGTGTCTAAATATTCACAAATGCCCAATGGTAAAGTAAAGAATGCAGAACTTCAACATTATGAACACATTCCTTCACTGGAATGCATGAATATTCTGCACAAAATCGAGGCTAACCCTGAGCAACAGAGAACCCGAAACTGGAGTACTACTCAATGTGCCCATCTAGACTGTTGTCTCCTCAGTACGATATTTTGTGTCAAAGGCATTCATCTCACCAACTCTAGTTCTTTTAAGCATCTATTGAAGTAAGGGTGAATGACTTTGACAAAATATCGTACTGAGTAGAATTTGTTAATTAATGAGGCCTTACTTACCTCGCTTCCATTCAATTGTCTCTAGTCCCAACCGAGTTTGGCGGCCATTTTTGAAAGTCGTGTATAGCAAAATTCAATGATGATAAAGCTAATGTAGCATATTTCCCCCCTTGAATCCTTTTAGCACCAGAGGTATTGAAACAGGAAGTATATGGCAAAGCTGTGGACTGTTGGTCAATTGGAGTAATATGTTATATCTTGTAAGTAATGAAGTAAGGTGGGGTGCAAGAGAACTGTCTCCTTCACAGTCATTCCACCATAGTGAATAAATTATGATAATTACATCAAAATGAGACAAATAGATTTACAAACTAAACAAAAAAAAAAAAGTTGAAAAGGAAAGAAAAACTCTTGAAATTCTGCCCAATGTCTTAAGACCTGGCTAAAAGAGGAAACATGTTTACCGCATGCATATTCCCTCAATGTTTCCCCGTTTAGCCACATGCGAAACATTGCTGCGTGCAACGAATTTTGCTTCCAAGATGCAAAAAATGTTTTTGCTGTGCGGCAGAAACATTTCATGTTTCCAAGACGCATGGAAACATTGTTTCCCAATGTTTCCTGACAGTAATTGCCACCTTAGGAAACATTTAGGGAAACATGTTTCCTCGTTTAGCCAGGGCATTAGAATCCAAGACAGAACTAGAAACAACTCACAGTTCGTTTTGCTTCCATGTCATTTAACATAATTTATTTACTATGGCAGAGGAACCAGGAGCTATGCTGGAAAAAAAAAAGTCGTCTTGTAGAGGTCCAGAATTGATGTAGCTCTGTATCTACATTTTGTGTAATATTATTATAGATTATAATAGTAAACAAGTGGCAACTGTTACAGAATTCTGTGATAAGTAAAATACAGTATATTATCAATATTTATATCTAAATTTCCCATTAAGAATACCATGAATATTTTGAAAATTACTTTTTCCTCTGGAATATTATATTTTAATATTTTATTTCTTACAGGTTATGTGGCTATCCACCTTTTTATGATGAAAGCGATGCAAATTTATTTGCTCAAATCATGAGAGGAGAATATGAGTTTGATTCGCCTTATTGGTAAGTGCTAATTCGTCCTGTTTTTTTAAGGCCATTTGAAGTCATTTTTTTATTTTTTTGACCATCTTATGAGAGGGGGGAGGGGTCCTTATTCCATTTCCCAGCCCCATTTTGACCAAATCCCATAGTCCAAGCCAATTTTTTGTTTAAATCTCAATCTCCATCACATTCTCATTTTTTGTTTGTTTATGAATCGCATTCCCAGTGCAAAAAATCCCGTTTTCCACACCAAAAAAAGGTGAATCCCAGCTTCCACTTTACCTATTCAGGGACCCTCTTATGACAAAGTACCAACAGCTAAACTGCTTTCCTATATTGCTTTATGTTTTGTAATACAATTTTTCTCTTTCCCTCTTCAAGCAGGTGTTTTCTCTATTTCCTACTTTCACATCCCCATAATACTTCGCGTTTTTTGGGGGTAACCAGAGGGTAAAAACCCACTTATTTTGCTGAAGGCTGATCAGACAATGTTGACAATACCTTGTTTGGTATCCAAAAATAAAATGAAGAAGTAAAAAACAGAAAAAGATAGCAGCTTGAAGACGTTTAAGAAAAATTTTTAACATTTTTTCGTAAGTCAATACATTTTTTGTAAGACCAAAACTCTTGATGATCTGTACACGCAAAAAGTAACTTGGAATAAACTGATAATCAGTATTGTACAGATAAAAAAGCAGGTATAGCATAGATTCAATTTTAAAAACTTTCAATTTGGGACAGTTTTTTGATTGGTTACCCCCCAAAGGGATGTGAAAGTAGAGAATCTCCCGCATGTAAAACATATTCTAAACTTATCAATCGTCTTTACTTTATAGGGATGATATATCTGAGTCAGGTAAGTGATCTTTTTGCTAGCTTGACCTTTTAAGTCTGTTTTTCATGTGCCAACCAGAGAAAGATTGGCTGGTGACGTGACAAAGCAACTTGTGATGAACTTGTATGATAATGTTGGCATATCATCATCGTGCAATGACTTTATCAATAAACACGAAGTATCGTTATATAGCAGTAAAAATTAGGGTGATGTTAATGTCTTTTATTTTTTCTTAGCTAAGGATTTTATTAGACATTTAATGGAGATAGATCCTAAACGAAGATACACGTGCAGACAAGCCCTCGCCCACCCGTGGTAAGTAAGAAAATAACCACTCAAAATGATGAATAAGAATTAATTGTCCATAGGGACTGAAAGGAATCTTATTTTACGAAATATATTAATTAAAATACTTACAAAAAACGCTTCATTTTCTCCAAGATTTTCTTTTTCTTTATTTTTACCCAGGCGTGCCTTGGGACTCGAGTTTTCGCGCGCATCCTGTCCCATAAATCTTCGCGGCTTTCACCTGGATTCTTTTTGACTTTTTCAACAGGATATCAGGAGGTACTGCGCTCAATAAAGATATCCACGCGTCTGTTAGTGAACAAATTAAGAAGAATTTCTACAAACAGAAATGGAAGGTGTGTGAAAAACTTTCTATGGTATTTTTTATAGCTTATTTTAGAGTTTCAATAAATGTTGGATACCAAGAATATTTGGGCGGGAAAACAACAAAGGTTGGGTCTATTGAAGTATCCCGTATATATTTTGCTTGCTTTTGTTGTTAGAACATATTCAATCCCCCTCCCATGACCGAGACTTAGCTACGCCGCAGTCTTAGAGATTGTTATTCACTATAACTTGTATCGTTTGTCTTTTTGGATTTCTAGCAAGCATTCAATGCAGCTACAGCGATAGGACGAATGAAGGCTCTTGGCCTGGGTCGACAAGACAATAACAACACCGCGACCACTGCTACAGCCACAGCTAAATAATCTCTACAACTTACTATCGAAATCTGATAAAAATACTAGTATGACTGTATGTTATTTGTGCCAGCTGGATGACTGACTTGTATAACTTGTATTTGTATCGTGACGTAATATACTGGCCACTTGATGTCAAGAAACCGCTGACCGACGGCTGCAGGATATATGAAAATATATTTCAATTATACAGCGCCGTATTCTTAGTTTGTTTAGCGACTTCCCTATGTATTTCTAGCCTATTGCTGTTATTTAGATTAGGTAGCATTATTACGTAAACCTTGGTTCAATAGACAGTAGAGAAAAACGTTTGCGCATGCGTGCATTTTAGCACGTTTTCTAAGAATTTTGAAGAGCTTGAGTGAGAAAATAAATGTTTGTTTTCTCCAAGTATACGAAAAAGTTCGAGAGTATACTTTTGTCAGACCAAGATACTGTATTACCAAACACAATATGAAAGAATTAGTCTTTAGTTTCAAGCATAGACACTAAGATTTTCCATTTTGTGAAGTCCAATTTATCAGGCATGTATGAAAGCCAAATTTACATATGTTTAGACTAATTTGCATACGGATTCAGAGCATGCGCAGACGTTTTTCCCTCATGTCGGTTGAAAGCCGAGGCTGCACATGCATGCTGTTGCATGGATCTTTTGTCTGACCTAAATGGCCTAGAAACTCAATGACTTGCTTTTATTTTTTTTTTTTAATTTGATTGGATCAAGTTAACCAAACATTTGCCTGTGTTGTCGAGCAAAATCTTTGCCCTACATTCAAACCCTGAACTGATTACCGTCAGTAAAAACAGCCAATGTTCTGTAGTAAGGGTCAAAGTAAAAATTTACAAAAGTCGGATTCATGGGTGTATCTTTTTAGAACAAAAATTAACCTGTTCGACGTCAGTCTAGACCTTAATTGCTTGATCCATCATGGTCGCGCGGGATATTGTAAATATGACCAAAGCAACTGATGAATGGAAGGAAAGGAGCTCTAACCTAGTAGCTTCACAGCTGATTAAGATTATAAAAGTTTTTGATACAAACATGTTGTGTGGTTTGTTATTATATCCTTGTGTAAAAATGTTATTCTGATACTATTGCAAGTTTTCCTGGCCGCCATTTTGGTTGAATGTAACAAAAAGACTTTTCGTTAGTATCTTTTTTTATATCAACCAATTGGCCGCTATTATATTAGGACTTTTTTTTCATATATCGTTTTCTTAGGAATGATTAATGAACCAACAACAAATTGATTAATGTATCAGTTACAGTTAACTCAAAGGTCCTATTGATATGTATGATACCTGTAGGCACGCCACAGTTTTGATATAAAGCTTGAAGGCTAGTTCCAAAACTCAGTTAAAGATTCCTTGCCGTCTATAATATAATAGATATTTATATTATAAATTGTATTTGATCAAAAAATGTATAGTTTTTTTCCCAACATTTATTTGACTCGACTTTTCCAATACACTGATTTGATTTTCTTGTAAGATTTCTAAGTGTGGTCAACTGGTACGAGGTAGGTCTGACTTGAATAATGCCATTAAATCTGATCGCTTTTGCTGTCCTTTATTATTTTCACTTATCAATATTTTTTTAACGACCCGGACTTTAATAACTTAAGGCATTATATTTTTTGTAGCAATATATTTTGACAATACGAAAACGGACATGAATATAAATTGACTTGTAGAAGCTAGAGAATTAATTTTTCATTTCGTTATAGATTCTATAAACCAGAGTAATACTTGCTATTATACTTAACTAACTACCATTTGATAACTGTAACAAAAGCTTCTTGAAATTTGTGTGTACAGATAAAAAAAAACACTGAAATAAATGAGTTTTAAAAACTAATCTTTTTGTTTTCTCGGCCAGCGGGAAGGAAAAAATTGCTAAATTCTGTACCCTAAGTAAACTTGACTTTTAAATTCGCCACCCCCATCCCGGCTGTTGGGGTTTGGAAATAATGCAATGACCCCTTTGCAAGCGACTTCAAAGGAGCTCAATTAATATTTGGAGGACAATCTCCTTAGAATCGGAAACCTATTGTCATGTCCTTCAAATTCAAACTGCATTCCTACATGCTGCAAGGGGTAAACTTTTATCATATTATTTATTGTATCTATAGAGGTACAGATACGGTGCAATTGCAATCGTGGTTGACTCATCGGTCTTATAACTTGCACACCCCTTGGCGCCAAAAGCAATATTGCATGTTTGCTTATTCCATTCACTTGTATTGTTTAGCACACTAACTTGGCCTTAAAATGCAAGAAGAGAAAAAACTGAACAAAACAAATTCCATACAGTGTGAACTGGGTGCATGTATTGACTTGAGGTGCGGTATAGATATAAATATACTGGCACTGTCATTGTTTTTCCCTAACACTGTGACCCTAACACTAGTCAAAGAGTCAGTAGTAGGGTTGTTGGGAAGGGTAGGCCGGAATTGGGGGGGGGGGGGGG